AAAAGAAAGTGAATAGCCCTCCTATGCAAAAATGAAAAAGAAAATTTCCCAGTAACCTACAATACAAAATATCTTGGTGTTAACTAACCAAGCAAAGGAAAGCCTTGTATGACACAAATTCAATTTTTTGAAAAAAATAGGAGAAGATATCAGAAGAGGGACATTTATTCTATGCCCATGGATCAGTAGTAACAAAGTAAAAAGCAAAGAAGGGAATCCTACTGTTGAAATAAGAGTGGTGGGGCTGCATCCCTGGCACCCTGGCCGCCTACATGGCTAGCTTATGCCTGAAATAACAATACACAAACTGTATTCATTTAATCACTGCTTGGCCCATTTCTATCTAGCCTCTTCTAGGCTAACTCTCGCACCTGGACCAGCCCATTTCTAATATTCTATGTAGCACAGCTAGGTGTGCTTACCGGGAAGATTCTAGCTTACGTCCATCCTGGGTCAGAGCTTCATCGCGTGTGTCTGCCCGGGAGCCGGGAGCATGGTGTCTCTCTGAGGGGTCTGCTCCCGAGAGGAGAGCTGTCGAGTCTGAGCTCACTTCCTCTTCCTCCCAGCGTTCTGTTCTGTTTACTCCTCCCATCTATCTTCTAACCAATGAGGGCCAAGCAGTTTCTTTTTATTTAACCAATGACCTTCCTCCATCATCCTACTAAAATAAATCTACAGATTCAATGAAATCCCCATCAAAAGTCTAATACAATTCTTGACAGATCTTGAAAGGTCAATTCTCAGTCTCATAAAGAAAAACAAAAGCCCAGAAGAGTCAAAACAATCCTGAACAAGATAAGAACTGCAGGAGCTATTGCCATTCCTGATTTCACGGTGTTTTACAAAGCTATAGTAATGAAAACAACATGGCATTAGCATAAAAGTAGATGTGTTACTCAATGGAATTGAATTGGAAATCCAGACACAATACACATACCTATGGACACCTGAATTTTGATAAGGAAGCCAGAAATACACACTGAAAAGTAGATAGCATTTGTAAACAATCTTTGTCAAACTAGATCTTTGCATGCAGAATGCAAACAGATTTATATCTATCACCCTGCACAAAAACTCAACTCCAAATGAATCAAAATTTTAACATAAAACCAGATACATTGAACCTGATAGACATGAAAGGGGGGAAGCAGCCTTGAACGCATTGGCACAGGAGAACAGAACACCAGTAGCGAAGACACTAAAATCCACAATTATTAAATGGGACCTCATGAAACTGAAAAGTTGCGGTAATGCAAAGGACACCATCCTTTGGACAAATGGGCTGCCCACAGAATGAGAAAGTTCTGCCAACTCCGTATCTGATAGAGGACTAATGTACAGATCTACACAAAGAATTCTCAATAGAGACTACTCAAGTGGACCAGAGACACTTAAAAAAATGCTGAACATCCTTAGCATCAGCAAAATGCAAATCAAAACTACTCTGAGATTCCATCTTACACCTGTCAGAATGGCTAAGATCAATAATACCTGATAAGATCAAAGCTCATGCTGGTCAGGATATGGAAAGACGGCAACATTTTCCATTGCAGGTGGGAGTGCAAACTTGTACAACCATTGTGGAAATCAAAATGCTGGTTCGGTGATGGTGCACGCCTTTGTTCCCAGCACTCGGGAGGCAGAGGCTGGTGGATCTCTGGGAGTTCAAGGCCAGCCTGGTCTACAAGAGCTAGTTCCAGGACAGGCTCCAAAGCTACAGAGAAACCCTGTCTCGGAAAACCAAAAAAAAAAAAAAAAAAAAAAAAAAAAAATTGATGGAAATCATTCTACCTCAATATCTCGCTATACTACTCTTGAGCTTACTTATACTCAAAGGACTTTTCATACTATCACAAGGACATTTGCTCTACAATGTTAATGCTACTGTGTTTATAATAGCCAGAAATTGGAAACAACCCAGGTGGTTCTTCCACTGAAAAATGAAGAAAGTGTGATGCATTTACACAATGTAATATTACTCAGCAGTCTTAAAAAATAGACATCATGAATTTGTGGGCAGGTGGATGGTACTAGAAAAATAGCATAAAGAGTGAGGTAACCCATACCCAAAAAGATATACATGTTATGTGTTCTATTCACATATATGTGTACATTGGAAGTTAAATAAATGGGCTATAATCAATAGATCTAGGGAGATTAGGTATAGAGGAAAGGACTTGGGGGAGGGACATGAATCTCTTTTGGAGGGGAAAATAGAATAGATTTTACGGGTGTGCTGTGTGTAAGGGAATGGAAGAGGAGGAACAGGTGGAGAGGAGGAGGGGACATGGAATTCAGGGAGTGATGGCTAGAATTGAGGGGCATTTGAAGGGTGGTATAGAAACCTAGAACACTGGAAACTTCCAAAATATATGAAGGAGATCCTAATGAAGTCTGCAAATCATGAGGGAGACGGAGTCCCAAATGGCCATCTCTTGTCACCAAACGAAGATCCCATACTGGAATCAGATTACATCCAATTGAATTGTTGGCCAAAGGAGCCCCATGGGAAAAAAAGTCCCCAAACACCTTGGTTTGTTGCTAAGAAAATAAGCTACACAAATTGACAACAAGGCCCTATTACTGAAGACAACATCCACACAACTCATTGAACATGAAGAGGTTGACCTAGTGCCTACATAGAACTTTCAGCCCTACATTCTAGGGTCTGGTATAGACAGGTACTCTGCAGGCTACCAAAAAAAGAAACTTAAGCTCCATTCAGCCACCACAAAACCTTTGATCTGTCCTGCCTGCAAAATAGGCTAGGCCAATGATGGCACAAAGCTTCTGGGAGTACTCAGCTAATGTCAGAATCAACGTAAGTCCCATTCCGTGAGGTAGAGCTAATACCTAACAGTGCTTAAGTGACCTAGGACCAGAGACTAGCTTGCCCAGATACCGAGGATAAAATCAAATAGTACTGGTCTAAGAAAACAAAGTAACAATAAAATGGCTCCTTACTATATTTTGCTATACTCCTAGATCAGGGCTTTATTAAGCCATCATCAGAGAAGCTTCCTCCTGTATCAGATGGGAAAAATACAGAAAACCAGTACACACACACACACACTCAGAGGGAGGGGGGGAGGAGACAGAAAGAGATAAATAGAGAGAGACAGATACAGAGAGACAGATATATACATACTTACATACATACAGACAGACAAAGACAGAGATATACTTTAGAACACACAACTCTAAGTGGGATGCCTTTAACAAATCCCTCCCCTCAGCGCTCTAGGAACCCTGCAGCAGAGAAGACTAGAAAGAGTGGAAAAGCCAGAGGGATGGAGGACACCAGGAGAACAAAGCTCTCTAAATCAACTATGCAAAGTTCACATGACGTTACAGAGTCTGAAGCAGCAAGCACAAGGCCACAGGGGTCTGCCCAGGTCTTCTGTGTTTCTATTATAATTTCAGTTTACTGTATTTATGGGACTCCTGAGCATGTGAACAAGTAGGTCTCTGATTCTTCTGACTTCCCTTGAGGTTCTTTTCCTTCTGTTTATTCCCTTGTTCAGCCTCAGTGTGGTGGATTTTGTTTTATCTTATTATATTTTATTCTGTTGTTTTGTGATGATATCTTAGAAGTCTGTTCTTTTCTAATGAGAGACACAAAGGATCTGGTTGGGGGCAGAAGTGGGAAGGAACTGAGGGCATTAGTGGGAAGAGGAACTGAAATCAGGATATATTGTATGAGAAAAGAATCTATTTTTCATAAAAGTGGGAAATACTATCCTAAAGCCTACCATGCCCAGGTCTTGTGAGGTTATTCAAGCTAACAAACCCAGCAGGCCTTCCCCTACCCCTACCCCTTGATTTTCACACATGAGCCATTTCCTACACATCCAGCTTGCTGTTCCCCTGTTGCTGGGCCTATGCCTTGTGTCTGCACAGTAATTTCTTTCTTTTTGGAACTGTAAGGATGGAAGAACATTTTGACTCTCCAAGTATCTTTGTGCTCTAGTTTGTCATCACGGGAGTCGAAAGCTCTCGAATGCAGGTTGTTTTCTAGCTTCTGGGGGCTGCTGGCATCTTTGTGGATTCTTGACTTGCAGAAGAAACAGGCCTCTGTCTTTGCCTTTGTCTTCACAGGTATGTATCTCATATGCATGGATATTCTCGTTCATTTTTCATATGGATGCCAGTTGCACTGGACTGGGATCCAATCTATCCCAAACCTATATAGTTTCATTTTTACTAATTATAGATTAAAAGACTTTATTTTAAAATAAGGCTACAATTTCAGGCATTGAGACACAATTTTAATATAAAAAGTAGGCATAGACAGGCAAGTTAACCAATGACAGCAAGTAATGGCTAAAAGTCCCACTATCCCATGATCCATCACCCTATTTGGAGGTATATATCCAAGAAAATGGGTGCCATAGAAACCAAAAAAAGTATATACAAATCAAGAATTCTCATTTATATACGTTAGTCACCTAATTAAGTAATTCAAATTCACAGAGAAACTTATGAATACATGATGATAAATTTTTGGTAAGTCCAAACCAGCATGCAGGGATGAACTCTTCAAAGCACTGCATTCATGTGGACCTCAGTAACTGACTGACTACACGGGCCAGTGGTGAGAGATGTCAGAGCTGTGTTGTTTGCTTCTTGGGAAGGAAAACCAAGGAAGAGTGTGTCAGGAACTTTGAATTAGCAAAATGTCAGCGCCTCGGTTTGGAAATTTTGCAAAAGGGGAATTGCCATAAAGTCTATCTTAATATTTAATATTATGGAGAGAATGAATGAGTTATGCTTTTCCTTCTTTCCTTGTCACTCAGAAGACATCACTGATGTTTTTTCCTGTGCATGCTTAATCATCCAATAGCACACAGAATGGAGATGATGATAAAGATAGGCAAAATGAGGAAGAAAAGTTACCCTTCAATGCACTGAACTGCGCGCAAACATTGACCTTGAGAAACAGATTCACTGAATCCATCCAGAGCTCATGGTGATTTGTGCTTAACTAGAAACCACTCCAGATGAATGCTGTGGGGAGGACTTCGGTCTTGGGGTTACTGATCTCCATCACTATTTTGGTGTCTGGTAAGTGTGACATTCTGAGGATTATAGGAAATGAAACCATTCTTCAGGCTAACTTTTGACTATGATAATCCTCCTGCCTCAACCTTCTGACTCGTGGGGTTACAGGCATGTACCTTTGTCGCAGGCTAACAGAACAACTTTAACACTGTACGGGTTACTTTTAAGCTCATTATTTTTAATAAACAGGTTTTCTACAAATATTTTGCCAAAGAGATTATTCTGTTAGTTGTTATCATGACTTTAAAGATGAGTGACTGCCTGAAAAGTAAAGTTTTAGTAAATTTCTTGCTTCTCTCATATTTAAGGTTGAGAGAGAGAGAGAGAGAGAGAGAGAGAAAGGAAGGGGGAATCTCTGAGGGGAGAATCAGTGGGATCCAGAGTAAAGCAGGGGCACTGAACTCAGATAGGAAGAGATTGTCCTTTATTATAAGTGAAAAAGGAACAGGGTGGAGGGTGGCCTGGATACAGGTCAGTTTATAGACTCATGTCATAGATTGCTGAGTCTTAAGCATTTGAAGTAAAGCTATTGGAAGTTGTTAATGAAAAGAGTGGGCAAGATAAGAACCAGAGTCTGAAATAACTATTACATAGATTTGACAGACCAGCCTGCTAGCTAAGGTGATAGAACACTAGTGTTGAAATACGGACGCAACCCACAAACAGAAAAAGCTGTCTTAAATTCTCTCTCTCTCCTTTTTAAGCCCTCTCAGGTTTTACGTGGAGTTCATTAGCATGTTGGGCGCCACTCTGTTGAAATACGGAGCGGCGGGCTGTGTCCCGCCACCCAGCTAGCTTTACCCGAAATAATTACACGGAAACTGTATTCTTTTAAACACTGCCTGACCCATTAGTTTCAGTTTCTTATTGGCTAGCTCTTACATATTGATCTAACCCATTTCTATTAATCTGTGTAGCCCACGAGCTGGCTTACCAGGAATGATCTTAACCTGCGTCTGTCTGGAGTGGGAGAATCATGGCCACTCCCTGACTCAGCTTCTTTCTCCCAGCATTCCGTTCTGTTTACTCCGCCTACCTAAGGGTTGGCCTATCAAATGGGTCTAGGCAGTTTCTTTATTAATAAGAAATCACTCCCACATCACACTAGTCCTAGTCTGTTTCACCAGGACCACAGTTCCTATGCAAGCTGATCAATGTGAAATCAAATGGACTTTTTTTCCAGGATAAAAGTACCAGTACACTTCCTTCTACTTCAAAATGTATAAAATATAAGTCTGACATAAAATACAAAATTAATAATCCATTTTAAACAATTAAGAAAACATGACATACCTTTACATGAAGTAAATATAACCACCTCCAAATTTTTAAAAACTGTTTATATATGCATTTAACGTGTGTGTGTGTGTGTGTGTGTGTGGTGTGTGTGTGTGTGTGTTCTCGCATGCATGTGTGCACGTGCACTCAGAACACAGCATTTGTGTGGAGGTCATAGGACAACTCTAGGAGTTGTTCTTTTTTTCTATGTGGGTTCCAGGGTTCAAATTCAGGTCTGCAGCTGTGACTGCATATACCTTCACTTGCTGAGCCATCTTGGTGGCCCCTAATCTTCTTAAAAGTAGAGATTTGTTACCTGGGCCCCGTAATACAGAAAGCTGGGGTGCCTCTGTTGGGGTGTACCCTCTCCAAGTAATGCAGTACATTCTAGGGACTGGGCCCCGTCTCTGGGCGACAGGGGACAGCCTCCAGCTTATGTCTTACCTTCCCCAGTCCCAGGCAGAGAGGGATCAGAGGGATCCCAATGGCCAGCGGGTTGTCTGAGAAGATCAGAGCAGGGGTGGGCAGACACGGGAGATGAAGGACAGGTTTGGTATACCTACCCAGTCAGCAGGGATGGCCAGGAGTTATTTTTGTATGAGGTGCGTTTACGTTTTATTTCTCTTTTCTGTTGTGTTGTTCTTTGAACTATTTCGGTTAAAAAAAAGAAAAAGAAGAAAGAAATACCTATTTTTGGTTACACTCAGAAACATTTTTTTAAATAGCAGAAGGAAAACTTTTTTTAAAGAAAAAAAGGGGGGGGGGAATTAATGTATTCCTTACATATGAGGTTAGAACATAAAGTCCCTGACCCCAAATCCTCTAAAGACTGCCCACTCTGAACTTTAGATCATTAGCTGATAAAGGTAGAATTCGTGGCGTTTTATTAGAAAACTAGACTCTTGTCCAAGTGAACTTGGGAAGGGCAGTTTGTTCCTTCTCCCAAATGGTAGGTGGATTCCAGGGCTCCTCCCACTCTGAGGCAGTGCCCTCTGTCCTATTCTCCTTTGGTCAGAGGGACTGTGGGGAGATGGGACTGGCCACCTCTTTGGCCTGGCTTGGGTTTGTCACAGTCTGTCCGTTTTAACTGAATAAAGATACTGTTGCCAAAAAAAAAGTAGAGATTTGTATTGTGATACATCACATAATGGACTTTGATAAATGTGCCTAGGTCACTTGAAAAAATAAATATGATGTACATTGAAATTGTTTTATAAATATCTGTTTGGTCACTATGATTGATACTGTTATTAATATGTTACATGTTTATGCTACTTTTTAAAGTTCTGATTGCTCAATCCATTTCCAAAGAAGAGGTGTCAAAACCTCCATATGTGATTGTGAAACTGTCGCTTAGTTTAGTTAAATTTTGCTTTATGTGGTTTGAAGCTTCATTACTAGGTATGTACTTAATCACAACAGTTAACATCGTACGATTTAAAATTATGAGTAACCCTTTATGCTTTTGAATAATTTTTCTGTTATTAATATAGATTTTATGGGTTACTTTTAAGCTCATTATTTTTAAAAAACAGGTTTTCTACAAATATTTCGCCAAAGAGATTATTCTGTTAGTTGTTATCATGACTTTAAAGATGAGTGACTGCCTGAAAAGAAAATTTTTGTAAATTTCTTGCTTCTCTCATATTTAAGGCTGTACTTTAAGGTTGTTTCTTTTGTCCCCTCTCCTTCCTTCCCCTCTCCCATGTTGTGTGCAGTTAATAATTTGCAGCCAGAAGTTTTTGGTTATTTTAAATTATCACCAGTGATGCCTGTAACTACCTGTCAGAACGTGGTTAAGAGAATGACCCGTGGAGAACATTGAGATGCTCAAAAAGGAAAGGCAGGGGGCCTTTTACTTTAAGTGTATTTTCTTCTTGGGTTGTTCTTGGATGGGATTTCATAGACTCCTGTGTTAAATATTTACATTTAATTTATTAGACATGTATACTCTTGTTGCATGTCAGATCTTAACTATAGAAGCCAATTTGATGAAAGGATTGCTAAGTGCTGTCCTCAGTGGCCCCTGAATCTGAATATGGCCGTCTGCCTTGCTTTCATGCTTTCCCAGATACAATCTTAGTATGTGCCAGGCAAATTTTATTTAAATTTGTCCGTTCTGAGAAAATTCAGAAGGTCTGCTTTATTAATATTTATTATGTGCTTACTGGCAATTATTTGCATGTTTTTTTTGAACGCAAGCAGTCTTCCTAGGATCATTGGTTCTTTGTTACATTAGTATATGAAGGTATATTCATTCATTCATTCATTCATTCATGCCCTGGCTATGCTTAAGCGTGCATGGGCAGCCTGTTTACGGCTGTTCTCCAGCTGTTCCTGTTCTGGGCAGTCCTTGTGCTATTGTGATATCCAAGATTCCACAGTCTTCCTTTATGCTGTCTATCCATTTTGGGGGGGGCTTTTCTCTTAGCCTTATCCGTACACTCCTCCAAGCAGTAGTGTCTCCGGTTATCTGCTGTCATTCATTCTCATAACAGTGAGAATGTATGAAAGTACCCTGAAACTGAAGTAAGTTTTTCTACAGCATTAGACTGTAGTCTGCTCCATCCCCTAAGGTCTTCTTACCCAGGTCCTACAGACACCAATCTGCATAGGTCAGTGAAAATCAACATTACTAACCCTCCACATGTCATTTTAATTTTGCTCATGCTTCTAGGTAGATAGTGATTATTTTGCTGGGTTTTTGATTGACATTCCTTTATAGTTACTAATCTTTTCCATATGTCGACTGGCCATTTGACTATCATTACCTTCTCTGAAATTTATGATTCTCTTGCTTCTCTCTCTGTCCAGCCATGCCTGGCTTAGGGCTATTTTATTGTGAGAAATTCTGCAGAACCCAAGGAACCAGATAACCAGAAAGTGGAGAGAGGAAAGGACACCTATCCTGTTCCTACCTCTGTTTTAAATCATTTCTGCTGTTCAGTCACAAGGTTGAAATCAGGAACAGAGAGGATGAACTCTTTGTGGTTCTGTTCCTACAGGTCTTGAGAATGACTGTTTCTTTATCTGTATGGTGTTCATTACTAGGCCAAATTGCTGTTTTAAATTCAGCACAACAGCTGTGCTTTAATCTACTGGCATTCAGCCAGCAATTGCAGCTCCGTGGTTACTAACCTGCTTCTCTAGCAGCAGCTTGGCCACTGACAAAGCCTGGCAGGAATTCTGATCCCGGAGGCACTGGTTCTGTTGCTCCTACTAAAGGTAGCTTTAGCTAAATCTCTATCATTCTATTTATAAATAAGAAATGAAGATTCAAAGGCCAGATTGAAAAATTGCTAGCTCAGAGAGGCTGGGTTGCAACTATCTAACCTTTTTTCCTTGCAAGCATTTCCAAAAAGCATGAGTCTCTTTCCACTAAAACATAAAAGAGCTGTGCCACTCCAAATCCCTCCCTACTACTTCCTGTGTCTCTCTATCTCTCCTGGGTGCCCTCTGATGATCTATGATTACTTTCCATGCACTGGTTGCTAATTCAGTCTCCTGACCCATGGTTCATTTTATTTAATCAATGCAAATGCAAACTTGGGGTTCACAGTGTAATTGAATATTCTCTTTCGCTCTTTCCTTTTTGTCTAAATAAAAACAAATGTGTTTAACTCTAATACACTAAGACCATAAATAATAGGAGCAATTATGAAATGAGGATTATGTTAAAAATTCTTAGTCCACTGTATTGGCAAATTCAGAAAAGCTACTCTATTATCTATCCTATTGTAGGGAGTTAAAAGTTTTTTTCCCAACTCATTTTCTATTCTAACTTGCATTACCAACTCAAAACTATCTTCTTAGACCTCAAAACATTTTCTTAGATAAACTTAAGCTGTTATGTCTCTCAACCTTATATAATTTATACCTCTTTTGTAAGTTTCTTTTCTAAATTTGGCAACAAAGAAAACAGTAACTCTATCTTGTCTTCAACTTCTTCAGAGACCTGAGAAGTGTTTAATATTACCTGAGTATATAGGAAGTGCACTGGAAATAACTTCCAAAGCAATAAAAATGACAGATGTAGTTGGCTGCCTCCATAGTCACCCAAGGTTTCTTTGCAACTTTGGAGCATCCATATTTGGAGTACAGGTCTAGAATATCTGACAGACTTTTCTGTGAAGCAGAAATTTTGAAGGACTGTGTTATCTTTATTGGCAAAGTTCAGCAGTCACCTTTTATGTCCTGCTCATCCGATTTAGACAGCATACTCTCAGCAGTCAAGCCAAGGGCAGTCTCTTGGCCAATGGCCAACCTTGTCTCAACAAGAGCACCTTCATGTGGAGGGTCGTGAAGTAAGTGCATGTCTTACTGTCACCAAAAGCCTTAAGTTATTGAAACATCTCTGTCCGTGTGATCATGCCACACATTGGATCACCAAATGTTGGTTAAATTTCAGCACTGTGTCCGCACCTTAATCAACTGCTATTTCAGCCAACAACTGTTACTCCACAGTTCCGGGCCTGCATCTCCATCAGCAGCCACTAGGGTGGCAGCCTGGCAGAAATTCTGTTCCTGTGGGCACTGGTCTCTCACTGCCACTAAAGGTAGCTTTAACTAAATCTCTACCATTCTGTTTATAAATAAGAATCAAAATTCAAAGGCTGAGTTGAAAACCTGCAGCTCAGAGTCTCCAGAAAACCCCAGTCCTTCTGCTCTTCTAAAACAAAACAAAAAAAAGCTGTGCCACTCCAGATCCCTCCCTACTACTTCCTGTGTCTCTTTATCTCTCCTGGATGCCTCTGGTGCTCTATGATTACTTTCTGTCAACTAGTTGCTATCTCAGTCTCTTGAACCATAGTTAATTTTATTTAATCAATGCAATTGCAAACTTCAGGTTCAAAGGTGATTGAATATCCCCCCAATAGATGGCATCTGGAGAAAGGAGTATAATCAAGTCAGCTCATGCATTATGCCTACCTGGCAAGGGGTTGGATGGAAAGAAGGACTACTCTGCAAACTCTTTGACAAAATAAGAGTACTCTTAAAAGGGAAATAATTGATTAGTATGTAATAAAACTATTTTTAAAGCTGTTGAGAAAGATGTTGACATATGATGATACAACTTCTAATTTTATAGCAATTTAAATATTTAAAACTCTTATTTAAACACTTTTAAAGTCAAGATATTCAGGTAGTATGAATTGAAATAAAATGGCACAGACTATTTTATTATCCATGTCAGAAGGTACTATTCTTCTTTATCTTGTGGCCAGCACTGTGGCTTTAATTACGGGATGAAATCTGGAGAAAGGAATTTAACTAATTAATCTTTTATGGTATGCCTACACTGGACTTGGCAAGGAACTGAAAGAAGGAAAACAGGGTTACTGTACAAACTATTTGACAAAATAAGATCATTCATAAATGGAAAATAATAAATTGATAAATTAAAATGTAATTTCCAAGGTGTTGAATATTAGTGAAGATTAAGCTTCTAATTATTGCTTACAGTGATATAAATACTTAAACATTCTTATTTAAATATTTTCTAGAGTCAAGTCGTATGAATGGGAGTCAAACATCACAGAATAGTTTATTACCTGAGTTCGAAGGTACTGTTCTTTTTTATCCTGTGGCTAGCACTGGGGGAATGGAGAGTTCACCTTGCTGAGAAACAGTGACTACTGCTTTGGCTTCTGGAGAGATGTAGGATGAGTAGAAGAATCTGGTGATGTGAGAGTTATGGCAAGAGGGATCTGAACGATTGATTGTATCTACACCTTTGCTGTCTTAGAGTAAGAAGGGCTAGGGGATTAGCATCCTCCCAAGTCTGTGCTAAAGAACCCTTCATTATCTAATTAGATGACCTTTATTTGATGTGACTTGTCAGGACCTGAGGACCCCAAAGAGGCAAGTGATAATGAAATGGTGTAGTTGAGCTGGTTAATACAATGCTTATCAGAGTCAAGGCTCGTTCACAGCGACTTCGGCTCCTGTTAAAGTGGTGACATCACTGAGTCTTTTGTCACAGGTGATTATAACAGATAATTTGTTGAGTAATCACCTCTCAGAAAGCTTGTATCCATCACAGACTCTAAATCAGTATAAGTTAGTGGGCAGTTTTATGGTGAGAGATGCATGTAGGCCACAGGCCTTGAATTTTTAGTTTAGAAAGTAGATAATGTATTTAATTTTAATAGATTGAACATACAAAAACAAGAATTTTGAGAAAAATCAAATATTTCTACAATACATTTATAAGTCAAGCAAAGCTCTAGTGTAACTTCATGTATGCTGCTGTGGACAGACTTAACACAGCTTTCCTTTTCCTGTTCTTTGTGTGTGTGTGTCCAGTTAACACTACACTGTTTGTAAAGACGGGTGCAAAGGCTCTGCTGTGTTGCCCTGCTCTTCCAATGACAAAAGCAATATTAATAGCATGGGCCATAGCCCCCAGAGGCCAGCCTCCCTGCAGAATAACTTACAGAGTAGAAACAAAAGAGACCAATGAAACCAACTGTACAGACAAGAGAATCACCTGGGCATCCACACCTGACCAGAGTCCTGACCTTCAGATCAATGCAGTGGCCCTCAGTCATGACGGGCTTTATTCATGTGAAATAGCAACACTGCAGGGGAATTTCCTAAGGAGACATGACCTCTATGTGCTAGGTAAGTGACAGGGTCACATATCCTGCTATTTCAGGTCACCAGATTTTAGATAGAATCAGACGCCTTTGTAATTTGGGACAAGACTGAATCATTTTCGCTTCCATCTCCACAGTGCCTCCAGCAGTTACCCTGCTTCCAGGGGAAAACAGAACAGCAGTTTGTGAGGCAACTGCAGGCAAGCCGGCTGCGCAGATCTTTTGGAGTCCAGATGGGAATCACGTCACTAAGCAGGAATCACACAGCAATGGCACCGTGACTGTCAGGAGCACATACTTCTGGGAGCAGAACAATGTGTCTGTGGTGTTCTGCTTTGTCTCCCATCCTACTGGCAACCAGACTCTGTCCATAGAACTGAATCAAGGTAAGTGTCACCCCTTTTTGAAGAATAAATACTTGAAATTTAACTTATTCTTTCATGAAAGAGAAGTGTTCTAATTTCATTCTGTTTCTGACAAATACTGTGGCCAAAGCCACAAAGGGGATGGGAGAGGAAAGTCAAGACAACTCAAGCAGGAACCATGGAGCTGCTCACCAGCTGTCTCAGCTGCCCAGGGAGTGTCCTGGCCACTTGGGTAAGACTAGCCTGTGTCAAATAGATACACTTCAGACAGTAGTCACAAGTTTTCAGTTATCACCTGCAGTTCTTATCAACTATATATAAAGTCAGGATGTTTTCTTAAACTGTGTATCAGGATCTGTGATTTGGTAGAATTAATGGTTCACAGACTTTAGGATGCACAGTGCTTTATCTACCTCCCCTCTCTGTCCATCTATTCTTCTCTCTCTCTCTCTCTCTCTCTCTCTCTCTCTCCTCGCTCTCTCTCTGATCCCCTCCCTGTCTCTCTGTTTCTCCCCCCATCCTCTCACTTCTCTTCTGCTACTCCTGTCCCTGAGGCCTGCCCCACTTCCCCTTCCCCTTTTTATGTTTCCTTAATAAAATTCCCTCCCCCCGAGTTCTGTGTTATGGTGTCTTTTTCATGCCACTTTTTAAATTATAACAATGGCATCTTTAATAAATGGTGTTGGGATAAAGCAGAAACTCTTCACTGGTCAAGAAAAACAACCCAGAATTTAAAGCTACAGAGAACCCATTTTGTAAATTCAGAGGTCAGAGGTCAGAGGAAGTGACTTCTGGGCACGACAGGCAGGGTATCTAAACTCACAAGCTTCCAGGAATGCAGTATCCTGCACAAGAAGAAACCCATCAAAATTTATCATCGCTTGGAAAGGGGCTCCTGAGTCTCTTCACTGACAATTGAGGAACCAGGGACAGTTAACAGCTTCTTGAGGAGAGAGAGGGTCAGCTCTCTTTAAGGCTGTTGTTCTTCACAGGCTCTTACCCAGGAGGATATGGGCAACATAAACTGAAGCCAGTGTGTTATAGAAACAAAGACGAAAAGTTGGTGGGGTAACAAAGCAGAGTGTGGATCTGGTAGGAGGTAGGAGGAGGAGTTGTAGGTGAATATGATCAAGATACATTGTATGAAACTCTCAAGACTTTTTTTTTTGAAATAAAAAAAAACAATACCATTCAAAAGTCTAAAATTTGCATGGGATGTTCTTTAGCCAGAGGACTCAGATGATCTAAGCTGGATTTGACCCGAAAATCTCCTCCCTGAATACTAACTTTCAAAGTCACCAAGGTGATCTGTAAGATGCCCCAAAAGGGAAGCACTTGGTAGTACCACCTGGCTTTGGAGATTGTAAACCTCAACAATTACCAGCACAGCTAGTCCCTAAGGTTCAGTAGTGGTAACCACATCTTGGCAGCAAACCAAAGCTGTCCAATTCAAGGCTGACTCAATAAGAGGAAGATCATGCCTAGTATTGGAAAACTTGCCAATTATTCAAGGTAAGTGAGGTCATTGCTCTTGGAGGCAAATGTACTACAGCCCTTCATTAAACCAGAGTAATGTTTATTGAATTCAAAATAGCCTTATGCCCACAAACAAGTGTGGCTCTTAACCCTTACCAAAGAAGCTTTTCTTTGTGATAGACAGAAACCATTATAGAATGTCACAAATGGTCAAAATGCACAGAACATTGATCATAGGATGTCCAGTCCCCATGAATACATATACAACACAATTCCTATACCTAATGCTCGAGGAATATTATAGAAGATGGGGAAAACATTAAAAGAGCCATAGGACCAGGAAATCTACTACATGATTGTGTCTCCCAAATTTCTGAATAGAGCACCAGTAGTAGCACAGATGCTAAGGTTGACAATTAATAAGTGGGACCTCCTGAAACTGAAAAACTTTGTAAGGCAAAGGACACGGTAAAAAAATACAAAACAGCAGCCTATAAAATGGGAAAAGATATTCAACAACCCCACATGTTACAGAGACCTTATCTCCAAAATATATAGAGAACTCAAGTAACTAGACATAAACAAACCAAATAATTGATTTTTTTAAAAAATGAGGTACAGACCAAAACAGAAAATTCTCAGCAGAAGAATCTCAAATGACCGAGAAACATCTATGGATCTGATCAATATCCTTAGTCATAGAGAAATGCAAGTCAAACTGACACTGAAATTCCATTTTACACCTGTCAGAATGGCTAAGATAAAAAACAGAAAGTACTTCTTATGCTGGAGAGGATGTGGAGTAAGGGGGATACATCATCATTGCTGGTGGGAGTACGAGCTTATACAGCTATTTTGACAGTTTCTCAGAAAACTGCGAGTTGATCCACCTCAAGACCCAGCTATATCACTCCTGGGCATATGCCCAAAGGATGTTCCCTCATGCCACAAAATCACTTGCTCAACTATGTTTATAGCAGAATTATTCGTAATAGCCAAAAGTGAATTTTAATTGTAAAATAAAGGATAACCATGCTGCAATGCACAGACCCAGAGAGACTAGGTAACAAGAAGGACCCAAGGTGAGACACATACATATCCTTGGGAAGGGGGAAAAAAGAGATGTTGTGGGTGGACTGGGGTCGCGTGGCATGAGAACTTGAGGGATTGGTTTGGGGAATAAGTGGAAGGTGAGAGTACTGAACGAGAAGACTGGGAAGGGTGGCTTTGGGGGATCAGGCAGAAACCTGATTCAGGGAAAAACCCCATGAATCTACAAGGATGATCCCAACTAAGACTGCTAGCAGTAGTGGATACATAGCCTGAACTGACCATGTCCTATGATCAAATTGGTGACTACTCCAACTGTTATCAGAGAGCCTTCATCCAGTAACTGATGGAGACAGATATAGAGATCCAAAGCCAAACAATAGGCTGGGTCTCAGGAATGCTTTTGAAGAGAGGGAGGAAGGAGTGTAGAAGCAAGAGGGGCCAAGGACATCAAAGAAATCCCACAGAAACGTGTATCCTGGCTTATAGAAACTCACAGAGTTTGAACCAACAACCAGGGAGGCTGATTGGGACTGATCTAATATGTGACTGTTGTGTAGCTGGGCTCGGAACACTGGGAGCATGACTGTCCCTATCACTTTGGCTGGCTGGCAGGAACCTATTCCTCTCACTGGATTGCCTTGCCCAACTTAAACAAAAGGGGAGGTGTTTAGTCTCATGACTACTTGATATGTGATGCTTTGATGATATCCATGGGAAGCCTGACCCTTTCTGAATAGGAACAGAGAAAGAGTGGTTTGGGGTGAAGTAGAGAGGACCTGGGGAGTAGGGAATGGGAGGAGAGGAGGGAAGGGTAACTGTGACAGGTATGTAAAATGAAACAATGAATGAATGAATAAATAGATAAAAACATTTTTATAGAAGATTGTGTCTCTTGGAAATGACAGGAAGTCTTCACCCATGAAACCTCAACAAGTCAACCATCAGTAGATATACACACAAGGTAGCGGTAAATCTTATGGGTCTTCATCCCTTGTGTTTGTTTGAATGTAATTGGCTCCCATAATTGCACAGGGAGGTGAGGCTATGCTGGAGTGAGTATGGTCTTCTTAGAGGAAGTGTGTCACTGTGGGGGTGGACTTTGAGGTTTTCTATGCTCAGGAACCACCCAGTAAGGCATTTGACTCACTGTTGCTTGCAAGATGTAGGACTCTCAGCCCCAGCACCACATCTACCTGCATGCTGCCATGCACCCTGTCATGATGAAAATGGACCAAACCTCTGAAACCATAAACAAGCCACTCCAATTAAATGTTGTCTTTATAACAGTTGCCGTGATCAGCTTGTCTCTTCACAGCAATGAAGACCCTAACTAAGACACCCCTAGTCTAAAAATTACACATAACTAGGGGTTCTGGGTAGGGGGAGAAGGAGTCTTCCCTCAGAAATGGTCCCTTATTGGTTATTCCATATCAAGTGGCCAGTTCTGAAATCATGTACATTCAAGCAACATAAACTAAGCAGATTTCATTTGCATATTATGTAAAAATAGGCAATGAAAACAATTAAGAAAGAAGAAGTTAGGAATTTAAGAGGGAGCGTTGGGAGGTTGGAGGAAGGAATAGGAATGAATAGAAATGATGCAATTACATTTTCCTAAAATAAAATAAAGTTACATGGGAACTTTTTCCTTATATAACTGGGAAGTTTTAACAATACTACATTGTATCTATTCACTGTAAAATATTTGTTAATGCCTATCAATCACAAAAGTTGGACTAGGTTACTAAATTTGATCCTGAAATAGTAGTATATGAGTAGTATTTGAAGTATAATTGATAAGATTTTCTGATTTTGATGTTCCCTAACTTTAGGAATACTCTAAGTAATTTTCTAGTTGTTTGTCTTATTTCTCAATTAGAGCCATTATTGAACTGACTTGTCCTTTGCCCTTGCCTGTAGTTACAGGTGTCACCATCATGCTGCGTTCCCTGCTGACCATTCTCTATGTGAAACTTTCCCTTCTGGGGATTATTCTGCTCATCCAAGGATTGGTTTTCTCCCAGAAGAGCAATTATTTCATGTAGGAACAGAAAACTGCAAAGTTAGACTCCTAGAAAAGATTGAGCTCACAGTGGACTGGGAAAGTATGTTATATGACCCCATCATTGTTGTTCTTTCAGCTCTTCTACAGCACTGGGTTTTCTTTAAATAAAGGAGCCCTGGCACAGATACCCACAGTGCTAGCGAAGTTCTGACTTGCTGAAGTTCTGAGGAGGGGCTTAACATGGCCTTCTCTTTTAGGAACCAGTGGTAGAACTGAAGTTGTAGAAACTTTATGAATATATTTACAAGTTTATTGATATTCGTGGGTTTCTGTTCATTTCTGCTTAATTGAATTTTATAATGTTTTTGTTTATTTCTAGAAAATGAAAATCTAGATTTCTGAAGCCCATTAGTCTGATGACACAGTACAAGAAAACAGCCATTTGCAATCATTTTTCTCACTGACATACAGCTTACCTGCTCCTGATGTCTTCATGGTTCTTAGAAGTCATATGGCAGCCTTCAGCCATACAGTATGAATCTACAGACAAAAGCTTGGGTCTTACCGTCATACATGCTGTGGATGGCTATCTACTATCTCCTTTCCCCAAGTAGCAGGTCAAAGAAGAAGAAGGATTAGCAAATGGTGATCAACAGTGCTGACTGGATATTCTTTACCCACATCCTCCAGGAATAGCTTCTATCCATCTCCTGTTCCTAGCACATTTTACACTGTCAGATTCCATGACAAGCAACACCTTCAAGTCAGCCACTAGCAGGCCTTCTTTCTTTTCTTGCTTGCTACCAAGTAGCTGGACAGTTGTATTTTAAATTAATCATTGAATACATATGATGTGGGATTCCCCTCTGTATGCTGTCAATATACATTGTAACCATTGGTCAATAAAGAAATTGTCTTGGGCCTCTGGAAGGGCAGAATAGAGCTAGGCAGGAAAACTAAACTTAATGCTGGGATAAAAAAGATAGAGTCAGGGAAATGCCATGTAGCTGCCAAAGAAGACAGATGCCAGAACTTTACCCAATAAGCCACAGCCTTGTGGCAACATACAGCATAAAAGAAATGGGTTAATTTAAGATACAAGTGTTAGTTAATAAGAAGCCTAAGCTAATATGTCAAACAGTGTTTTATTTATTTTTTCTTTTGTTCCTCTGATAATTTTTATTACTTTATAAATAATAGGAATCAAAATTTCCACTTCCTCCCTTCTTTGGGAGCTGGGTGGTTGGTCCACAAAAGTGCAAAGAGCAAAAGCATAAAAGTAAAAACTACTAACAACAAGGAACAGTGTTAATATCAAAATTAGTGCCTATTTTGATAGTAGAAAATCAGTATATGTCAAGCAGTAAATAAGATCCCAATTTTCTCCCCGGCAATTTGGTCTACTTCCCTTAGCCAAGAGGATAACTATATGTTTTTCCTTGGGTTCCCCTTCTTACTTAGCTTCTTTAGATTCACCTATTGTAGACTCCGTAACCCTTATTTATGGCTAGAAACCAATTATGAGTGAGTACATCCCATGTTCATCTTTTTGGGTCTGGGATACCACACTCAGGATAGTGTTTTCTATTTCCATCCATTTGCATGCAAAATTCAAGAAGTCCTTGTTTTTTATTGCTGAGTAGTACTCTAATATGTATATATTCCATACTTTCTTCATCCATTCTTCCATTGAAGGGCATCTAGGTTGTTTCCAGGTTCTGGCTATCACAAACAATGCTGCTATGAACATCGTAGAGCATATACTTTTGTTGTATGATAAGGCCTCTCTTGGGTATATTCCCAAGAGTGGTATTGCTGGGTCCAGGGGTAAGTTGATCCCGAATTTCCTGAGAAACCGCCATACTCAACTTAATATGGAAAAAAAAAAAACCAGGATAGCCAAACAATCCTGTACAATAAAGGAACTTCTGAAGGCATCATAATCCTTGCCTTTCAACTCTACTACAGAGCTACAGTGCTGAAAACAGCCTGATATTGGCATAAAAACAGATATGAGGACCAATGGAACCAAATTGAAGACCTGGATATCAATCCACACAGTTAGGAGCACCACATTTTTGACAAAGAAGCAAAGAATGTAAAATGGAAAAAAGAAGCACATTTAACCTGCTTAATTACATTTTCACAGTCACTTGACTGGCCTGAATCTGCAGTCCCCTGTGGCTCCTATCTTTTCCAACTTGGCTGTCAGGTCAGGCTAGACTCCTCGGCAAAGCTGGGTTGCCTGGCGGGGTCCAAGCCATGCTCCCTCTGCTGCTTTTCTGTCCTGCCTGGGTCTTAGTGACAAGGACGTGCCTGTCCCTCATTGCCTGCTGTGCTGAGGCACAGGCCATGCTTTTGGCTTTAACAGTCCCATCAGAGGACAGTGTTAGAGGTGGCTGATGAATTTGCAGGCTCTCAGGTGTCCGCCTTTGCAGTGGCTCCGAGACTGCAGTGTGCGACCACAAGCTTAGGCAGGTATATCCTTGCCTGTTCTTACTATCTTTGCTTATTTGTTTTTAAATCTTGTAAACATAAAATTAGAATTCCTGAATCCTCTCCTTTGTTAAAAACTGGAGAATTATCCATATAGACTCCTTGCCTGATGGGTCAAATAGCCTCTCAGGCTTTCTTTAACCTGCTCTGGGCGCCGACTGCGGAGGTATAGCCCTTTAAACTTCTTTGTCTCCTTGCTTTCCTGGCTCCACCACACAGCACAGGTCAGACTCAGCTGGCTACAGCCCCTGTGCATAGACTGCCACAATCTCAGCGGTAACCTAGTTCATTGCTAGGCCAAATGCCACATTTCCTTCACTCTTCCCATCTGGTCAATAGCAACAGAGGCTGTGACTAGGTGACCATAGCACCACTGCTTGTGGGGGAAGCCAAGGCCTCACTTTGACCTCCCCAAGATCCTGAGCAGCCCGAAGATGGCTGCTCATATGCTACTGTTTTAGGTGTCTACTTATGTGTTCCCAACTGCCCAGACTTTTGAAAAAACCACACAGAAACCATATTATTTAAAATACACTTTGGCCAAAGGTTTAAGTGTATTTCTGGCTAACTCTTATATCTTAAACTAACCCATCTCCCTTAATCTGTGTATTGCCACATGACTGTAGCTTAACAGGTAAATTTTCGGTATCTCATTCCAGTGGGGCTACATGTCGTTTCACTGACTCCTATGGATTTCTTCCAGGCTAATGTTTTTTTTTTTTTTTTTTTTTTTTTTTTTTTTTTTTTTTTTTTAATGAAACAAGACCCCACAAAAAGTCACCGTGAATTCTAAACATACTTTGTCTAACAAACAACAGGAAGCAGTTGGAAGAAAACAATGCCCAAATTTCCAAAATGAAAATGATTGTTTATAAATGTTTGTTTTCTTTTAAAGGGGTTGATTGTAAGTGATTAATGGTCACAGTCAATCTCTTTCTAAAAAAATGGGGGGTATGATATAGAAATGAATACATTGGTATGGACTTTGGTTTATTGATACAGATTTAAGGTAAATCTTACTATATGCATATTTCTACTCTTGTTTAAGGTATTTTTATACAGCTTATTTTAAAATGTAATGTATAATTAATTTTATGAATTAATAGATGGTCATTTATAATAGTCCAACCTGTAGTCACGCTAGTTAGCTTTTCCAAATATACACAGATATATTTCAGTTAGATTGATAATCTTCAACACTTCAAAGACCTACAGAATATGACATTTAAAAAGTTTTTAATACAGACTTTTCTTGATAGTGAGACATCTTTGCTTCTGACAGTACCAATTACTTCAGAGAGGTTGATGGCATTGAAGAAACTCATTATGGAATTTGACTTGAATGTGACAAGGCCAGTCATTTGGGAAAGAGACTGTTCTTTCTTGGACTGCTTGATGGTATGCTGTATAAACTGGACAAGCAGGTCCCACAGAAAAAATATTGCTAAACATGTCACACAAAGGTGAGACAGTACTTCAGGGTTCCTGCTTTGTAAAAGAGTCTGCCAGACGTTCTGAAGGACACAGAAGATAGTGACTGACAAACTGCGAATATAGGCAAAACAGATTTTCAAATTTGCTGCTTTATGGAAAATTCTGCCAGATACTATGGGCCTATAGATTGAAAATGAATACTCCAGTGTTACAGAAGAACTTTGGATGACTGTCCAGGCAGCGTGAGGCCTCTGTCAGTTCTATTGTTTTAGAAGTTGCTTACAATGCACTTCTTGTTTCCTTAGGTAATATTATATCCTTATGGGGTCTTTGATGAAGCTGAAGACAGATAGTTATAGTTTTGCTTATTTAAGATAAAAGACAAATTAGATATGAAACTTTTTTTTGTCCTTCGAGACAGGATTTTTCTGTGCTTTTGGAGCCTTTTCTGGAGCTAGGTCTTGTAGACCAGGCTGGCCTCAAACTCACAGAGATCTGCTTCCTCTACCTTTGAAGTGCTGGCATTAAAGGCATGTGACAACACCTCCTGGCTTAGATATAAAACTTTTGACTCTTAAAGATAAACTAGATAATAGAATATTTCTTTAATTTTGTCAGATATAGCTGTCTTGTTATATGTAAATTTACTATGTTGAATTCGAAACCTTCCTTTTTGTTTAGACTGAAAAGGGAAGATGATGTGGGATTTCCCTGTGTGTTCTGTGAGTATGTTTTATTATCATTGATTAATAGAGAAGCTGCTTTGGCCTATGGCAGGGCAGAATATAGCTAAGTGGGAAAACTAAACTGAATGCACCGAAAAAGAACGTGGAGTCATGCAGAAGCCATGTAGCTGCTCAAGAAGCAAGAGGTAAGAAACCATGAATCTCATGGTAAAATATAGAATAATTTAAATGGGTTAATTTAAGATGTAAGCGTTAGCTAATAAGAACCTGAGCTAATAGGATAAACAGTGATGTAATTAATATAGTTTCTGTGTAATTGTTTGAGTCTGGGGAGCTGGGAAACCAAATACAGTTTTGGTTTTTTTTTTACATTCAAGGTATACTGGGACACAGGTAGAGCAGAAATTATGAGTGTGGTCAACCA